TTGGACTTTTTTTAACCATATCCCTCCTACATTTTAGAAAATAAAAAATTTAACACTTAGATATGTACCTATATCCGAATGGACCGAATCCGCGTATCATAGGAAATTCGAGGAATTATTAGATATATTTAGCTGCCAAGATAAAAACTAATAACATTCTTCACTCTAAAGAGGATAAACTCCAGAATAAATGTATACATGATTTATTTGTGTAAATAACACATGATATCACCTCGGAATGCCATTATTTTGCAGAACTATCAACCAAAAAAAACGATGACTAACTTACAAGGTCTCATTGTTTTATTTTTGTTCTTTTTATTTTGGCAGGGTTATAATCGTGACATTTTCCCAAATTAGGATCTTCATTAATAAAAATGATCATAGCTCATTCTGATGCTTTATAATTTGCAATGCTTTGTTCACTATTGCACGGTTTACTATGCAGATGAGGAAATGTCAACTAAAGATAAAACAGTGACAAACTTTTTCTTTTTATACATGAGTCTACTAGGAAAATAGCTTTTACAAAAGCCCAGTTGCTTACCAACAGGGACCCATAGGCACTGGAGGAAAGCAGGCCCATCCCACTCTCAGTTTCGGCCCTGTGCTCATAGCCCAAAGGAGCAGCTGAAGAAATACTAGGCAAAACTGAGGGCACCGAAAAACCAGCACCAGCAGAAGAAATGTGATCACCCTCTTTATTTTTTAACACATCATCTCGGAGCCTCAAGACAATCTGAATAAGTGCATCTCTCAAACTACGAACTTCGCCAACAACCTATCATGTGGAACATGGATTTCAATAAATAAGGTGCCAAGAGATATTGTCGAGTAACAACAATAACACAAGTCAGATAATCTATACCTCAACAAGTTCATCATTAGCATCAGCACATTTAGGCTTCTCGCCTTTGGAGATCCGAATATCTGCTTTAGTTCTCTTCCTGATTTCATTTATGATTGAACCACTTTTCCCGATGATACACCCAATAACCTTAGATGGAACAAGAAGCCGCAAAGTTACAGTGCCATCATCTTCATCATTTATCTTTCCTTGCAGCAGCAATACAGCTTCGACGGCTGTTGATTTCAGATCATCCAGTGACTGCCCCAAACAAATATTGCACATAATTACTACGAATGGAAGAGGAAATTTTACCATTCTGGTAAGCGATTATTTTATGACGGACTTAAAAAAAAAAAAAAAAAAAAAAAAAAAAAAAAAAAT